AAAAAAAAGAGAGCGCTAGAAAGTGGGCAGTCTGCCATTATTATTACTGCACCCAGACCCAGTTTTGCTGTTTGCTGGGGTTGATCATTTTAGTGTAAAATATTAAAATTAACCCAAAAATTACAATTAAATGAAAAAAAAAGGATGAACAAGAAAGGAGTCACGTGATGGGTGGACAAACTTTTCATAAAAATAAAATACTTTGCACATAAACAGGTTTGTTAAAAAGTGGGGAGGTGGGGGTGGGGGGATACAGAGTGAGACACTCCTGCAATCATTTCATGATCATTTTCTCACAATCCTGTTTCTGTTTCCTGTGTCTGTGTGTGTCTGCTTCTTCCTTTTCTTCTTTCATAAACTGAAAAAGAAAGAAAATAGTAGAGCCGATTTTGGAAAACTGGGGTAACTGGTAAGGATTCGTGCTATAAATGATTCTTGGTTTCAATTTTCTTGAGCCCAGCAACAGGGAAGCAGGTGGACTGTCGACACACAATGCTTGGTTACGGTTAGCTCCTCCTCCTCCATGGCTCCATTCCTAACTTTCAGCAGGTATATCTAATCACGTGCAATACTGACTCTCCTAATTTATTTCTTTCTTTATTCAACCATCATCCACGCACACCAAACAGAACACAGTGTTTAAACTTTAAAGTAATTGATGATGACGTGGCATGGCAGGGTCCGTGGAGCATTTCTGAATTCTAATTGCCGACTTAATTAAAGTTAGATTTGCCAACTAATACTTTGTTAAGTCATTCAAATTCAAACCTTTACTAATTAAGCGCGTGAGTCTTAAGGCCTAACCCTCGTTGATTCCGTGGTCTGAACCCACTCACATTCAACCCATTTATATACAAGAAGTTGTATTAACTGTACCAACTAATCGACACACGCACAAGCTTTTGTTAATGTTCCACAGACACCTGAGAGAAAAACACAAACACTCCAACTGTTCCACAGACCCCCTCCCCCGTATTAGTATTATTATTAGTGTGAGACATAATTATTGCTGTCCTTTGATTTTCTATGGACATGACCAACTGAAGAAAAAAAAAAGAAATCTAGGGGATTTCTTATACCTTAGGGGGGTAGTCACCCATCGTTTAATTTGGTTTTGACTTTTGATTTTCTTAGACTCTCTCAGATTAATTTAAAAAAAAAAAAGAAGAAGAAGAAAAGAAAGAGAGTTAAGGTGTTGTTGATTGATGTTCAAGTAAGTCATTACTGTTTACTAATGCACGTCCCAAACACCCTGCACTACTACACATGATGCTCCCATTTCTTCTACCCCTACCTAACTGCTTTGGAGCCTGGAGGCCTGGGTGCCCTTTTCTCTGTCGACAGATCGGAATCTACTGGGTTAACTCACGTACCCCACCTACTATTGCCCGTCTGACACCAATCAATTGGCTAATGGCTAAATGCGATCCCCTGGCGCCAAGCACCCTGTCCCCCACCCCACCCTTCTGTATAATATATGCTTAGTTGGTCATTGGGTTTCCACCTTTTTTAATTTCTCATTCACACGCCCCAACCCAGCTAGCTTTTACTCTTTTACAAGCCCAGATGGATCGGGTTTTGACCCAACCCATAGCCACGCCTTTCCTAAATTCCTCCACTCCCCCCGGTCCATAAAAGATAAAAGATTAAAGCCCTCTTATTTCCTCTCCTATTCCTTCTCCATGGGATCCAAATAACAGAGGTTGGTCTTTTAAGGGATAAGCGTGCCTTCAAAAAGAATAGAGTAGAGTGCAGAGTCTTTGGGGCGCTACCAACCTACCAATTCAAAATTCCAATTGATATTTTTCGAGTGGACGACTGCTTTAAATGGGCCATCACCCACCACCATGTTGGACAACATGGGCTTTCAGCTTTTGTTAATTGTTACACACAAATGCCACCACTACTACTACTACTACCCTGCTTTTCTCATGGATCACATAATATCTCCCCATCTCTCATGTCTATATCTCCAAAGCAAAGATAACGATCGGACGGTCCTGATCGTCTCAGTGTGAAATGGGTTCTAAGGGACCCCCCACAACAAATGGGAAGGGCTGTCTGACGTAGGGTACAATTCAACGGCCTGGTGAGAACCTGCGAGGTTTCCAAGGGACCTTGCCCCAATCGCCTTGCGGAAGAACCAAAAAGCGTTAATAGCAGTAGGCCCGCGTGCAATAGTGGCTTCGAAACGTCGAGCGAAAACTTCAAAATGTCGGTATTTAATTTTTCCGACACGTTCACACTTCACACCCTCTGACTCCTACTTACCTACGCCGTGGAAAAACCGAAAAACCAACATATATCACCGGCCCGGCCTCTCAAATTAAAAATAGAAAAGTGAAAAAAAATAAAATGAAATGGAAAGAGAATTTTTTCAAGGAATATAAGCAGAGGAATATCTAGAAAATATCTCATTATCATCAACATTTTGTTGTGGACCGGCGGAAAGAAAACCCTGAATACAAATACAATCATTTCCATTTTCAATTGAAACTAAAAAGGCTTCGATTTCATTCATTATCTCACTCATTCTCCGTTTTTATTTTGACGGAGACATTTAAAACTTCACATATAACAAATAAATATTTTAAATAAAATCAATGAAAAACTGCCGAAACTAAGTTCCCGCCGCTTCAAAATTTGCCGACGAATCGACAATACAACGGCGGAAGTCGTTTTTCTACTTTCAACGTCTCCTCTCATAGAACAGCGAGGGGGTCGGAAGCAAACAAATCACCGATTTCCTGAAAATAATCGTCCACTTGCCACGTAGACGACGACGACGACGACCCGAAATCACCACAAGAACCTAGGAAGATATCACCGAAATCATCCCTGAAGAAACTATCCACGAAACTCGTTTCATCAAACAGTTCTGTCGACGGAGTTTTAAACTCCAGAAACTCGTCCAAGAACGGTATATCCAAAGGCGAAAACTCGCCGAAACCATTCGGTAAACTCGTTTCGTACTGAACTTCTTTTGCCGGTTGTTGTGGAACTGCTTCTTGTCGGATTTGAGATTCGGATTCCTCATTGGCCGGAGAACGGAACCGAAGCACAGACGTTGGAGAGGAGAGATTGTGCGACTCTTCGCCGGAGTCGTAGCCTGAAGATGTTGGTACTTGTGTTTCCTGCTTGGCTTTAGCCGGAGTGACGAAGTTCGTCATAGCGTCAGGTCCTCTTAACTGAATCGCCGCATTGTCATAGACCATTGCTGCCTCTTCGGCAGTATCGTACGTACCCAGCCACAGCCGTACACGTCGCGCGGGGTCTCGAATCTCAGCCGCCCATTTTCCCCATGGCCGCTGCCTCACCCCGCGAAACTTTTTAACGTTTGTTGAGTTGAGTTTCACGGCGCGCCGGTTAACCGAAGTGTCGATTACCCCTCCACCAGACTTTTTCCTCCCATTCCGTACAGATCTGCTTCTCCAACTTCCGTTGACGTTACAGTTATCAGTAGAGCAGGGCTCGATACTGATCTCGCTAACGTACCTTTTTACTCTGTGGCGACTGAACAGCTCATCCTCGTCGCTAGACGAGTCCGTCGCATCGGCATCGGTGACGGAAATCCGTACGACCTTGGGTCCCCCAATAACATTTACCTCGCTTGGATTTCGACAAGCGGCAACATTTTTAGGCCTCACCGATGGCTTCACGAATTTTTTAGTAAGGTGACGGTGCTCACTGTATTTGATCGGGCAGAAGAAGTTCTGGTCCATTGCAGGAGATTTCAGACTCTCTCTGTGCTCTACTACACTTGCATTGAAGACAAAGAAAAGGTTGGGAAACGAAAGGCAGCAACCCAGGAGAGGATGAGAGGAGAAAGCAAGAAATAGAGTCGAAAAGGCAGATTCTTCTGAGACTCGACACGAGGAGAATAAAGAAGGTGAAAAAAAGAAAGCTGAGCGAACGTTAAAGAGAAGCTTAAGGCCGTAAAAATAAAGATGAAGGGATTAAATAATCTATTGAAAAAGGACGAGAAATTTCAAGGAAAGTTGAAGATGGGGAAACAATCCGCAAACCTTCAACAGATTAATAGACAAAGAACAAACCAGTTAACTAAAGATCTTTAACAAAGTGAACCTGGACTGAAAAGATAAAAGAACACGAGTCGAGAAAAAGGATGTAGCAAAACGAACGGTAGAATCAGCACGAAGAGAGAGAGAGAACAAGTAGTAACAGTACTGTAACACTGCTCCCCTGTGGTACAAGAGAAGATGGAGAAATTTCTAGGAAAGTCACAGAGCTTAGAAAAGAACCGTAAAAACTCCTTTACCGGAAAAGGAAAGGGAATAACTGTCTGGAATCGCCACAGTTGGAAGAAAACTGATGCTTCGATGGCCACTGAATGAGTACAGAAGGTACAATATCGAGTATCCTCCAAAGGTTTCCCGTCGGAAATTTTAATTCTTCGTAAACACCTTCAGAAGGCTTAGCCTATCGGACTTCGGGGAGAAATTGCAAAAGCAGATGACAAAGAGAGCAGACGGATACAGCAGTAATAAAAGGTGTGCGGAGATAGAGAGAGAGTGAGAGAGGAGCGGAATTCAGTTGCGGTGGATACCGAAATACTGAAATTGCTATTTTATAGGATCTCCAACAGCCGAAATCGGTGAACCAGGAATGCAGTCCTATTTCTTTTTAATTAATTAATTTCATTCCTACCTTTTTATTTTTAGAAATAGAAAATATCTTTTTCTGTATTTAAATTAATTCAAATAATGAGGCAGGTCATATCAACATACGGTCCGCCGCATTGGAGTAGAAACTGTGATCTTGACACGTGTATTTTGTGGGTCCGGAAAACAGTTTTTCCGCATTAGATGCATGGATTTACGATGAATCATCTTTAGATTCATCTTATACTTGTCACGTGAGACGGAGACGGGATTCCCTTAAACAGTCGGTCAATCGTTGGGTTTTAAGTTTTAACACGTCTTTGACTGCAAAAGATATCTCTAATCTTTATTAAATTAATAATTAATCCCCACGAAGGGTAATTTAGTCATTGAAAAGTAATCCGTTATATTCTATTCTGACCGACGACCTTTACTATTTAACTCCCTATTTTTCACCATCTTTTTTTTTATTTCTTTTTAACAGCTAAGATTTACGAATTCTGTGTCCCCTTTATATAATTAGTTGTGTACGTCGCTCTTCCTTCCTGCTCCAGTTTCTACTCTCACCCACATGACTTCTCTGCCTCTTCTGTGGGCCACATGTTGTCCGTACGCATAATCTCCTGATATGCGGGACCACGTCCTGATTTTGATCTAGCCCCACAAATTGTGCTTACAATTTGACTTCAGATCATCTGACCACAACTTGTCCCTTCTGCTTTCTAAGGTGATGATCCTGATACGAACAGTTAAGTGTAATCTACGGCTCGAATTACAAGGGGTCATTGTGTGGTCGATGGAACGTGATATATATAATTAATTCCTTGTGAAGAACGTTAGCTAAGCCCGTCTTGCTGTTGCTGGGAGCCTGAGACGGTGAGATGAGACCTTCCTTCTAAAGTACAATTACTTGCTAGTCGGTAATACTGAAATTAGTGTTTTTTTAATTTTTACTTTTTACTTTCACTCTGCAGAGTAAACTTTAACCGGTCTTCCCACAGCTTAAATTTCGCACAAAAAAAAAAAGAGCACATGGAAAATATTTCTTAGATAGTAATGAATAGTTTCCACAATTTTAAATATTTAATTAATTAAGTTTTTCCCCGATATTTACTCAACGTTTAGCCAATTTCTAGCTCCAAGGCATCTTTAATAAATATTTATAAAATGGCATAAATGCCTTTGAAAGCAAATTAGTAACTTTCCTAAAAATGTAGGAGATTATAATTTTAAATTATAATTAGAATGACAATATAATTTTAAATTACAAATTTCCCTAAGCGGCTAGGCTGTGTACTTGTTCATTCTAAATTTATACCTTTATTTATAAAATAAAATAGTTAAAAAAATCGTTTTGCTTTTAAAAATCTGCTTTATTATTTAGGAAATAGATCCCAGGGTAATCTGGTAAATTTGATCGTCCAGGCGGTTCTCCATGTTCGCGGGAAGGTAGAGACTGGAGATTGATTCAAAGAATCGAAAGTCGACGTCCCGCTCTCCTCTCCAAGCGCGGAAAATGTTCTCAATGCACTGTAGGATGTAGCGGTGAGGCTGTTGTGAGGAGCAGATCTCAATTAGATTTATAAATGGACTTTAACTAATTATTTAATATTTTATTTTTTCTCTTTCTTGAAGGCAAAAAATGAACTACTAAGCATATAGGTTTATATTTGCTTCTCACTTATAAATCGCTTTCCATCTTTGTACTTTCTAGTATTTAACAAAGTTAATCAAAATTCATGTCATTAATTCTTTATTTATTATTTCCTACATAAATAAAGCTCCAAAATGGAATTATTTTTTATATGTAGTTTTACCATCTATGTATTAATTACTGAACCAAACAAAGAAAAACGAAAAATAGGGCATCATGCATGCATCTCAAACTCCAAGTATTAACAACATAATCTCAATAAGCTCGATTGAAAATAACCACAATAATTAAACTCTGTAAGGTATTATTCTGGCCTTGGGCTGGGCCATTGATATATTAATTAATTATCTCATGAATTAAGATGAAAGTCATAAGAAAGAACTATGCTATTAAGATTCATTGTAATTCGTTTTGATTTAGATTGGTTTCAACCCAAATCAAGTCCATTGACACCTATATTCTTATTTATTCTTATCTTATGTCAATGGATCAGATATTGACTTAATCCAATCAATCCAATATAAATTTATTACAAACAGACCAGGTCCAATTCAATCTAATAAATATTTTGGACTGGATTAGTCCAATCCAATATGTCTTATTGGTACATCCAATCCGTTCAAATTGATTTTCGATTGGACGGAGTCCAACCTAACAAGGTTCAAAGTATCGTTACACATTGGTTCGGCCGATATGTATCATTCCAGGACCCTTTCGATATGCCCTTACAGTGAATGTATCGGAGGTCTGACCGGTTCAGGAGATGGAGGGATCCTAGACCGACTCCCCTGAACCAGTTTTGAAAAAAAAAGTAAGTATTAAAATTTCTGATACGCCCCTACCAACATATTGAACTTATCGATATTTTGAACCTTGCAATCCAAAACCAGTCCATTGACACCCTTTAACTCTAAATTCTTTTAATTGGCTTCCTTTTTATTAATTTTTCCATTCTTTCATATCAGCATACACATTTTTGTACCACACTCACTATTCAAAATATTGTTTATTGACAATGTTCCATTGTTGGTCTTACTAGGATCTTTTGAAGATATAGGCATAGAAATGTTGAACCATGTCAAATTAAGTGTTTTCTTCTAATTCTGTTTTGCATTTTCTTTATTTTTTTTTTCTTCCTTGGTTTGACAATGTATCATTTAGTCTTATAAAAGCTAGACATAATCTTACCATAATAAAAGGAGTTGCTTAAAAAAGTATACTCAACCTTTTCCCCTCCAAATCAAGCATCATCACCACATTGGTCAAATCACACACCATTATAATTCATGCAACCGTCATCATATGTGATATTTACAAAATCGAAAATGGAAGTGAAATGTGAAACAATTGCTCCAAAATAGGTATTATGTGAGGCCCAAAAGACTTTTGAATTATTATGTTTTTTTAATCTCACATCTCCCTTTATTTTTTTGGTGAGCAATAATAAAGGAGAATGGTAATAGTCTTTCCCACCATAGGACTGTTGTATCTAAGGGCCCGTCCACCCAAAATATATATATATATATAATCATACACATTTTCTTACAGTCCCATTCACTGCCTGCACGTGCGTAAAATTCAGAATACACATGGGATGGGACAGTGTAGAAAAAAAAGTGTAGGACATCCGGGCCCGGGGCTCTTTTCTGATGTAAAATAAATTATTATACTGAAAAAAAATATATATATATATATATATATTAGTATATTTAAGTGGTAGAATCCTAGTAATTGAGTTTTGGAGTTTCCCACCGAGTGATGAATTGGCCACAGTAGCAGACATCCCTCCATGGACACGTGAAACAAAAGCGGCCGTCCCCATTTTGTTTCTTTCACTCGTGGCCTTGCTTCACGTGATCTTTCTATTTTCATTCCAAGTACACACGAATCCTACCCAAACTATATATGAAGAAATTTGATGCCTTGTTTCTTAGGTTGATTTGTGGGCGTTCCGTTTGAGTTGAAAATGGACAGTGAAAGAGTTGAAATAGCTCTTCTTTGACTAATTTTCGAGAATGTTTGGGTTCAAATGGAAATATATATGGTTGATGTTACGTCTCTAGTGTCTAGACACAATTAACACCTACAATTCTATTGCGTTCAATCCTCCACAGCTCTCGCACATAAATCCATTTTTGATTTTTCCCAACCGTACTACTCCTCTCCTGCCTTGTTCTTGTATATGTTCCTTGATTCATTACAGGAAAGCTACAAGCTTTTTTTGTTTGAATCTTGTGGTATGAATTTTAATTGATCCTTCGCAATTTTCCTCAAAAGAACAGAGAAAAAACAGCAAAGAAAGAAAGAAACAGAGTGGGATTTATCAAGGACATGGTCGGCGAGTGGCTCAACCCATGAAGACAAGACGAGTACGTACAGCCATGACAATATAACGGGTATGTGGGTGTCTCGACAAATTAATTCAAAAGTTAATCTAAGCTATCAGACATGAATAATTTGATTGGTATTTGTTGCTAAAACCAATATTTTTCTTGAGATTAGGGATTGTGCATAAACAAAAGAATACCCATTAACGAGGTCCTCCTTAGAAATTAAAACTAATCAACAACACTACTGTCTATGTCTATAAACAATATAAACATCAAAAATTTCAACTTATGGAGAGATGTGTAGAGACCAGAGAGAGAGAGGGGAGATGTGTTTAGATCCCATGTTGAAGAGAAGAAGATATCTGGATCACCAAAGACAAATCAAAGCTGGATGCCCTCTCTTGGACTTTGCCCCTCCTGTGTGTTATTTTTTAATGTAAACAAGGGACAAGTAATCAAGGTACATCGAATTCGACAAATCCATGGGAGGTCCTGTTTTTTGAACAATTACATTCAAAAACTACATTTGGGGAATTCTTTAACTTGTTTTTTTATTGTTTGTTTCAGTTTTTTGGCTTCTCAAACTACGAAATGTCGACTGTGTTTTACTGGTTATATATTTTTCTATACATCAGCTGGGTCGCTTAATTAACCTCATCAAGCTAGGATAGGTCAAAGAGCATCGACCCCTAGCTAGATACCTTCTGCGATTGATAACAAGAAAATCCCTTTAGCTAAACAAGTTGATGTGCATCAACCCCTAGATGTCTCTGATTAATGGATCAGTCATTAATAGCTAATCATGCTTGGTAATATCTCATTCGGTGAGATCATTGGATGAGTCATTGCTTCTATTACTTAGGCTGTGTTTGGTTGAGAACTAGGACTGGATGCACATGGATATATATATATAGCTGATGAATGTGTTTTCAACTTGTTACAATCAACC